ATCTAATTGCACTTTTACATAAGCTTCGCCCATAATTTTTATTCTATTATTTCCATATGTAGTTGGAGCTCTAGCCATTCTAAGTTTTGGCCTCCCAATTTTATTCCATATTGTTGCATTAATAATGGTTACTGCTGAACCTGTATATATTCCATTTTAATTTCGTGATTGTTTATTAATACCGTAATTGTTGGGTGCTGTCTAGATTTTTCTTATTGAGAAATCTGAATCGTCATTATTATTGTAATTTGTACCGTAAACTTTTCCTCTAGTTTTACAACATACGGCAAAGTGGTTTGATTTCTTACATTTGTTGCACGTTTTTCCTTATGCTGGACAATTTCTAATAACATGAAAACGATTACAAAAATAGCAAGGTTTTCTTATATTATTATTATTTGTGTGGTAGTTATTATGACCTTGCATTGGTTCTCTTTTTACGTATGTTTTATTTTTATTTTTGATAGTGTCGATTATCATTATACTGTCGATTATTTTTATCATTTTGATTTAATCGTTTATTATTAATATTATGTTTATTCGTCATCGTCTCTTTGATTTTATAAACCATTTTATTAGTATTATTTAATCGCTAAAACCATTTCAATAACTTTGTTTAAGCTTAACGGTTGGTCTTCGTCTTGAATATCTGGGTATCTTAAACATAGTTCTTTATCTAGTTGTGACATCTTTAGTCCGGCGATTAATTGATCGCGAATTCTTAGTTCGACATTATCTTCAAAATCGTATCTTCGGGCTAGCTCCTTTATAGTTTTTAAATAACTCAAAACAGATTCGGTAGGCCCGCGACTTAATCTAATGAAATCAATTCTAGATGCCAGAACAGTTCTTTCATCTTTATAAAGTTGTTTTACAATTTTGTATATATCTGCCTATACTACATCATCAATTTTTCTTGGAAAGAGTAATTTTTTTATATCAGTTATAATATTTATTCCTCCATAAGCTATAAATAATTTTTCACAAAGTGGGGTCAGTTTGAGGAATATTTTTAACATTCAGTATGTATTTTATATAGTCAATGAAATCGTCAATGGAACAATCGTCTTTTTTATATTCCTGTAATATTATTTTGTCCATAATTTCTAAATCTATATTTTTTTTATAAATAGAAAAGAAAAATTAAAATTATATAATATTTAACTTGACAAGAAGACCGCGCAACTTTTTTTCTTAACTCTTCGTCATTTTTTATAGTCAAAACAATCGGTAATATTTTTTTTAAATTCTGTTTTATATATAGTGTTTTATAATAATGTAATTTAACTCCTAATATTATGCAATTATATTGACCTCCATAATATAATATTAAATGTAGGAAAGTTATAATATAATATATAAATAACGTAACCTTTAAAATATATAACATAACCTTTAAAATATATAAGATATTAAAATATAACAATTATTATCATTTTCAACTTACTTTTTAGTAGGCCTATTCAAAAATAATTCGATTTGATTCGAATAATTAGAATCTAATCGAATAATTACGAATACGAATAATAAATTATTTGTTTTATCTGAATACGAATAATCATTTATTCGATTCGAATAAAACGAATTATTCGTAATATTTAATAAATTGTTTAATAAATCTAACATTTGTCATTTCTATTTATTGACCTGCCAATCTGACAGGTGTATGTGTTTATAAAAATTCTAGCACAAATTCAACTAGTGAAAATTTAAATTTTTATTTGCCACATTTTTTGAATCTCACGAAAAGTTTATTTTTTGAATCTCATAATAAATTATTAAAAATTACATAAACCAGAGGTATATAAAAATATATTACATCTCTAGAATAATTATTGTTAGCTAGCCTAATTATGTTAGAGGAGAATGCTTCTGATGAAATTATGCTTGATGTTGAAGATGAGAAAATTTCCTCACAAAGAGAGCAATCATATGGGATCATTATCAAATCCTTAAAGACGGTGAAAAGGCTGCTTGCAATCATTGCAAGAGTATTATAAAATGTAAAGGCAAAACAACATCTCCTCTTATTAATCATTATAATAGGTTTCATTCACACCTTAGTAGAAAAAATAATAAAATTGACATTTTTTTAAAGTCTACACCAAATTCTTCAAAAAAAAATAATTTTAAGGATAATTTATTAAAATTATTGATAAATAATAATAATATACCTTTTAAAATTATTAATTCAAATGACTTTAAAAATTTTATAAGTGATCTTGATTGTTCTGTAAAATCAATATGCTCCAATACTCTTAAATTGCACATGTATAATATATTTGCAGAAAAAGAACAGTTGGTAAAGGAAAAATATATAAAAATAAAAGTCAGATTAATTTTTCATCTGACATTTGGACTAGAAACACAGGTTCCTTTTTTAGGGCTAACAGCCCATTTTATTGATGATAATTTTAAAATAAATAACATAATTTTGGATGTCAGTCCAATAAATGAAATAAATTCAGGTGAAAATATATTTAAAGCCTTTGTTAAAATAATTAAAAATTATAATTTAGAGAATAAAAATTTATATATAACTTTAGATAATGCAACTAATAATAAAACATTTATTGATAATAAAAATAGGGCACATCCGATGCTTTGCCCATGTAATTAATTTAATATCCAAAGAAATTTTAAAAATGTTAGATCCTTCAATTCTAAAACTAAGAAACATTATTAGAATGATTCGTATGTGGTGAAAGGCAAATGCATATCGGATCCCCATGCTCTCGAGCAAGGGATTATCTATCACTACAAGGAACATCAACTGCTTGTGAAAGGCTTTTCTCAGTTGGAACTAATTTATTGTCAAAAAACGGCATGTCATATGGAAGAAAAGAAAAGATAAACTCTGCCTTAAAAATTGGCTTAAATTATAAATTAAATTAATAATATACATTTTAATTTTGTTTATAATTTGATTATAATTATTTATTATCAGATTATTGATTACATATTATTATAATTTTTTCTGTTTAAAGGCAAATTTGTAATAAAAAAATTTGTCAATATATTTGAGTATGATTTATTTTATTAAAAAAATTAATTCGAATCGAATACAAATATTAGATTTTATTATTCGTACGAATTCAAATAGTAAATTATATGAATAATGCACTATTCGATTTGAATTCGTTTTTGAATAGGCCTACTTTTTAGTAATATAATTACACTATATTTCTCACCCACTTTTAAATACATTGTGCTTAAAGTGTAAATTAAATCATTTAAGCAGAGTTAAGGAGCGGCGCTCATTTTCAAACACTTGGAGCGCCCTCCTTTTTAAAATTGAGAAGCAGGAGCTAGATCCTTTTAGGGCTGGAGTAGAAAAGCGCCGCTCCACCGCTCTTTTAAATTTATAATATATTATTTTTTAAATATAAATAATATTTGTTACTTAAAATTCAATAAAAATGAAATTTTATTTTATTTAAATTTATCCATTATTAAATGTATAGCCGAGTTTTATATTGGTTTTTCATCTAATCATTTTAAATATTAAACATCAAGTTTTTCCTTTTTATATTGAAAATTTTTTGGAAAATCTGTAAGTCATATTAATATTCATTTTATAGTTATATAATAAAAAATAGTTTTAGATATTATGGATTTAGAGATCATAGACGAAGAAATCGAATTTCCATTTCCATAATTCAAAAAATATTTTAAACTTCTAAAAGATGTTGATCCAAATTTAAGGGCAAAATGCCTTTTGTGTTTAAATAAAACTATTTAATTTTCAAAAGTGTGTAGCTTCAATCTAAAAAAAGCATCTAAAAGTAAAAAATCTTTCTTTTAAATACAAAATGATTTGAAAGATTTTTTTGGATTCCATGAAATTAATCATCAGGAAGATAGTATATTGGACAAATATTTTTTAAATAATGATACCAAAATTACTATTTATGATAAATTCCCTGAATTAAATATCTTTATAAAATACAATATCCCGCTTCTCTCTAGTGCTCCTGTGGAGCGCCTATTTAGTATTGCAAGAGGTCTTAGGGGAGAGGCGTGGATGCTCGTTAGATTCTAATTTAGAAAATTTATTACTATTAAAAGCTAATAAAAGGTTATAAATATTTATATATAATATTATATAAATAAAGCTTTCTGATAAAAAAAATATGATTTTGTTTCGCATACCTTCTAAAAAAATAAAAATCAAAGGAGCGGTTATGGCGTGGCACTTTATTACTTGGAGCGGGAGATAGCTCCTAAAAATGTAGTATCGGGAGCGTGAGCTACCTCATTTTGTGAAGGTAGGAGCGGGAGCTAGCTATGTTTAAAAAGGAGCGTTAACAACTCTGCGTTTAAGTAAAATTTTTATTTAACAAGTAATGTTTATATATATTTAAAAATATTAAATCTTAAATTTCTTTTAAGAAATCGGAGTGATTTAAATCTATATTTTTATTAGTTTAACCCATTCTATTATATGATTTCCGTTTTTATACCCTTTTTCAATGATGAGCAGAAGTCGAAATTTGAATCCTGGCCAACAAATTTGTTAAGCCTGTGTTTATTACAATACAATTAAGATTTTGAAATATTGCCCTGATGTTCCAATATTAAAACGCTCTAAAGACTTTTAATAAATATGATTGGAATTGGTAATGAATAGAATTGAAAATTATTATTTTTATGCCTAACCTATATATCCCGTACTCAATGGGTTGCCAGACCTTCATGAAAAAGCAAGCAAAAATTAGAGCACAATAAGAATCCCTATTTATTGATATTGGTAGTTTTATTTAAATTATAATCTTTATGAATCCATTATCTAGATTTTTCTTTTTGAATAATTATTAGAAGATAAATCAAATAGATTTTATTCAATTGAAACAAATTATATTAAGGAGATAAGTGGTGTAAAAGGATAGAAACATTTAACAGATCGTTTATTATTTATAGATCTCAATCTAAAAATAATTAGTTAATTAAAATTTTTATTTTATTAGCTGATTATAACATATTAATATATTGAATATTTACCTATATTTATAAATAAATACTTTAAAGTTATCTGGAATCATAATATAGATAAATAAAAATATGATTGAATATTGTAATTAAAATTTCCTTTATAGAATGAAAATAAATAAATAAAACGCGTTAAACAAATAAATGAGCACAATGTTATAAATAATCGTTAAATATAATTGGTCACTTTGTCAATGAAAACCAAAAATTCGAAAAATAAATACATTTGCTTTAAACATAAAATTTATTAGCGAATAAATTTATATATAACTAATTATTTTATTACGATCGAGACCAACATTGTTTTTATTCGTGTAACGATTAAATTTAATAAAGACTAAAATACCGTAATTAAAGTTTAGTTCTGAAAAATATAAATTCAAAAAAAATGATGCATCATTTTAAGGCAAAAAAGGTTAGAAATTATTTGTCAGAAGTTATCAAAGTAGCAACTGGATCTTCATCTATACCACTCTTGACTATCGGTGATGTAGCTGCGTTTCCTGTTATCTTACCCTTAATGTAAAATAAAGTTATTGTTTAATGCAAAAAAATAATAAGCTGTTGCAAATTAGAGCCCTGCATTGGGCCTTTTTCGTAGGTTGGACGGTGGCCAATAAAATATTTAGGATTTATTTTCCAGGTCCGAATCCGCTAATTCTTTTTCCAGTCAAGTTTGAAAAAAATGTAAAATAATTTTATTACGTATTAAAACCAAAACAAATATTTAAAAAATATGTGGAACTTTACTATAGATAAAATAGAGGCTTTTCCTCAAAAAAAGAGATACAAAAAATGTTAACAGATATGTAGTAGTGTTACAATTGCAAGGTCTCCCCATGTCAGGCGGGAGAGCCCCGTGATTTTTTCCTTAACATGCTTAGTTTATTATATCTTAAAAGTTGAATTGATCAATGGATTTATTTTACAAAAAATGCAAATTAAAACTCTAATAAAATATTCCTGATTTGGAAAAATATAATAAAATTAATCACATTTGAAACATGTATTTGAAATAAATGCTAAAAACACCTTAGGAGGCAATATATGGAATAAAATGTGAGATTGTAAAGTACAATAAAGTAATAACTATTAGAATAAACAATGGATTCAAATTATAACCATCTTATCACCCAGCCCATGCCTCATTATCATCTCCAGCAGATTTTGAACTGGCAACCCTGTTCTAGTATAATTGCTAAATAAAACTTCTAATAACTGTCATTGGGATTTTGATTTGTAAAATTTGATTTTTGGTATAGTCATTATGTATTCCATTTGGTGAGTCATTTTTATTTTTGTAATTTTATGTTTTAGTTTAATCGCGTTAACTTTTTATTATTAGATTTATAAAAGTTGATTATTGTAAAGTCCTTATAATTATGATTATTATAATTTTTTTTAAATGTATTTTTAGTTTATAATTTGAATTTTCGGCATGATTAGGTGGTTTGTAATTTTTAAAAAATGTATTTTTAACTTAGTAATTTTTAATTATTTTTTTAAATTATTATTCACTTCCCTATAAAAAAGGGAAGCAAAATTCTAATATTTCAATTCATTTTTTTTGAATTAATTATTTTCTTTTTCTCTTTTATTTTTATTAATTCATTTTTTTTCAATTCATTATTTTATTTTTTTTCTTTTATTTTTATTAATTCATTTTTTTTAAATAAATTATTTTCTTTTTCTCTTTTATTTTTATTAATTCATATTTTTTTGATAATAAAAATTAGTGTTTTTATGTTTTAAAAAATTAAAATAAAAGGAGTTATTTTTGTTAGATCTTATATATTTTAAAAGGTTATAATTTGAATATTATATTTGTAATAGAATATTATAACTTTCCTACATTGAATATTATATTATCGAGGTTAATCAAATTGCATATAATTAGAAGTTAAATTTGATAATTATATAAAAGTATATATATACAAAAGAATTACAAAAATTCATTATTGTTTTTAACTTTAATGGATATAATAATTTTCTGTGATCGGCACAACGTGATAGTTGGTGCTGTGGACTAAAACCAAAAATAGAAGGTGAAAACAAAATTTTTCTTTGATATTATATTTTTATTTTGTGGAAATTTTGTTGAGCACTGTGGTTATTGAACTTTGTAGTAGAAATAGTGACAGTCAATTATTGGAAGTAGTAGCGAAGAATTGTAAATAAGTGACCGTCAATTATTGGGAATAGTAGCGAAGAATTGTAAACAAGTAATCGTCAATTATTAAAAGTAGTAGCGAAGAATTGTGAAACAAGTGACCGTCATTATTAGAAGTAGTAGTGAATTGCATCATTTCAGTGTTAATTTTACTAATTATTTCCTATTGTTTAGCATTACAAGTAGTAAAAATATTGGTAAAGTTAATCATAAATTTTTTATAAATAATATAAGCTTTTAAATATATTTAGTGCTAACTTAAATTATTTGGATATTTCGAAATTTAAATATTTTGAAAAATTATAAATGAAGAGTTTTAAAATAACAAAATATGTGGAGTTACAGTACAATGTACTGGGGGCCGTGATTGTATTGATAATATGGTTGTGCAATTTATACTTTGGAAGAAAAATATGAAGAAAAAGAAGTATTAGAATCCGTGGACAGTCGTTATTGGTGGAAGGGCATTATGGTGCAGATGATAGATTGGGGAGAGTAACGTGGTTACCGGTGAAAGAGATAATGAAAGGATGGATGAATGCTGATGAAATGGGGAGGATAAACAATGAAAATAACGAGAGAAGTATGACCGTTTACCGAGGACGTAGAGAATTATCGCGACCGTTTAGTATTGGAGCGCCGAGAGGCAGAAATATGGTTTGTTACAAATGTGGTGTAAAGGGGCATATAGCGATTAACTGTCGAAATATGAAATGTTTTGAATGTGGTCAGTGGTCACATTTCAACATTTTGTCCAAGTAAACATGACAGAGTGATATGCGCTGGATGTGGTAGATTTGGATATAGGAAGGAAGATTGTAATGTGGGAAATGTCAATATGAGAGGAGGCTTTCCACAGAGAGGAGAAAGTTCAAATGTAATCATTGTGAGGAGTGTAGAAGGGGTAGCAGCAAAATGCGACATGGTCGAAAATAAAATCATATGTTTCAAATGCCGAGAAGAAGGACATTGAGCGAGAGATTGTGATAGGATATGACTATATGGTTAAAAGATAATTCAGGCCGAGGAGTAGAGGAAGGAGAGGAAATAAATGGTTGTGAAGATGTTAAAGAGGAACAAGTATATCTTCGAGTCCGAAGTATGGTTTAATATAAATTTGAAGATGATATCTATTTTGTTTGATAAAGGCGCGGCCATTTCGGTGATGGGATGAAGATTTTAGGAGACTCTGGCCGAATAGTGCAATAACGAGGGAGAAAATTAAAGTGAGACAGTTTGATTGATCTGAAATGGAGATGATGGGACGTTCGACAGTAAAGGAAGTAGTTAGACCACAAGTGCGAGGTGTAGGAAATGGAGAATTACAAGGGGAGAAGTTATAAGAACAAGGAAGGGAAATGAGGAGACCAGAGGAGTCTGTGGGGGAGTAGGAATTAGTGCAAAAAGGAGTAGTGCGATTAGCCAAGGAGTATGATGAAATTTTTGGTGAAGAGTTGGGTTGTTTGAGAGATTATAAAGCGAACATACGGATGAAGGAGGGATGTGTACCAAAATATTGTCTGCGCGTAGAGTACCTTTTGAGTGGAGGCAAGAGGTAGAGAAAGAGTAGGATCCCTGGGTAAAGGAGGGCATAGCGAGCCCGGTTGAGTACAGCGAGTGGGCGACGCCTTTGGTACCCGTGAAGGAGGCCAATCGGAAGTTGTGTGGAAACGTGAATAGTATGTGGTTGAGATGAAGTATCCGTTACCCAGGATAGAGGAAACATTGGCCTATTTGAAAATAGGCAGATGTTTTTCGAAAGTGGATTTTTCGAATGCATATTTGCAATTACGGGTAAGGAAGGAGATGCAGAGGTTGTTGACTATAACTATGCCAGAGTTTGTTTGCTATTCGGATGTTGCCGTTTGGTTTGAGTGTGTCTGCACCGATGCGAAGAGGTTAGAATTAGTTTTTTACTATATATGGAATTTCCAACGTGGTGGTGGGAATTGTCAGAGGTGATGAAATATGTCCAGTGGGGGTGTCGTGGAAGAGTATTTCCAGCATGTGTCGTAGAAATAGTGGGGTATTAGAGGAGGATGAGTATTTGCAGCGTGTGTTACAGCAGGTGGAGTCTTTTCAGCGTTTATGCAAGTGGGAAGGTATTTCCACTAGGAGTCAGAAATTTTTTTTTGTAATGAAATAAATAAAAAGGGTTTAAGGTTCACGTTACTCATAGAAGAAGACGATGGAGGAATAATGATTATGAAAATATGTTCTAACAAACAATGATAGGTATCCACTTACAACAACAACAGGGTAAAGAATGGTGAAAAAAGAATTCCTAGAGATGATCAAAGGGGTTGGGGTCACAAGGATTGGTTAAATAAAAGGGGGAGGTGTCATAATTGGGATTTTGATTTGTAAAATTTGATTTTTGATATAGTCATTATGTATAGAGTTTAGTGAGTCATTTTTATTTTTATAATTTTATGTTTTAGTTTAATCGTGTTAACCTTTTATTTTTAGATTTATAAAAGTTGATTATTGTAAGGTCATTATAATTATGATTATTATAATTTTTAAAAATATATTTTTAACTTGTTAATTTTTAATTATTTTTTTAAATTATTATTCGCTTCCCTTAGTAATATTTCCATTCATTTTTTTGAATTCATTATTTTCTTTTTCTCTTTTATTTTTATTAATTCATTTTTTTTGTGATAAATAAAATTTAATTCGTTATGTTTTTCAATTGTAATAATTTGGCATTTGAATAAAAAAAATATATTCTGGAAATATTCTGAATGTGTAGTATTCTCGAGGGCACAACGTAAAAATAACAATAATATCAATCTCAAAAAATATATAGAAAATTAAAATAGTAGAAAAAAAATGGTCTGGCAGAGTGTCTAGGGGGATAAGTCCCTTCAGAGGTCTAAAATAATAGTATTGCCCAATAAATTTTTTTAAATTTATTTTTTATGATCAAGCCTGACTTAGAGCCGATTTTTTAAGCTTCAAAATAAATTAATAGATTTGCAAGATCTGAAGATACTTTGTATTAATCGCGCCGGACCAGTTAAAAATTTCAACTGGTTGCCTAGCCTAATTAAAATATTCACCTACCAATTTTTCTCAAATATTTCTAAAAAATTTACAATTTAAAAATCAATTTGTTAAATATTATTTAGAATAGTTAAATAATTTCTTAAGTCCTGATTGTCTAAATTTTTTCACTAAATAGCCATATGCACATTAATAATATATAGACATGAATCGTACTTGTATTTTCAGTTCAAATCTAGCCTGACATTCATATTAAATTTGAACAATAATTTATTATTATTTTTTATTCCAGTTTGGATATTTTTTAAAAAAAATTGGTTAAGTTTTGACGGTTCTGGTTCAAAATTTTGAAAAAATTAGTTTTTGCTGAGGAATAATGCTCAGCCAACCCCAGTCTAAGAGAATGATTTCCCATCTAGATAAGTACAGTTATATATATAATTTAAACATGGAAACCTTAACTGAACAGTATGCATCACCCATCGTATCTTCAAAAGATTTATAAGCCTTAGAATTCCTATAAAAAAATATATTCAATTTATAGAACTAAAGATAAGGATGTCTCATAGAATAATGTAAGTTTTAAGAGAATAAACTAAATCCAATATTTTATTATGTGATTTAAATTATTTATAAAAATTGCTTTTTAAGCACATTTTTTAAAAAAAATTTTCAAGTAAAGATTTTTAAGCCAGAGTAATTAACTTGATATCGCAGAATTTGCTTTTAACACTAGCACTGACCGTAGACAAAAGTGGATTTAACGTTTCATTGAGAGTTTCTCCAGCCTTTTTTACAGTCTCACTCGTCTTTTGGAATCTAAAAATGGAATTAACATTTTTATGTTTTAAAGAAAAAAAAAGAAAATTTAAGCAAAAATGTAGAAAGAGGCTATAAATAAGCATATTATTTTTAGCGTGCAATTTTTTTTATTATAAAATATTTTAAGTGGATAAAACTCATAAGTGTTACTTACAATGGATTCTCTGCGAGTGTTCCGTGTATATCATGCACCACTTCACTCGATTTTTTATAACTTAATTTTTTTTATATATCAAAATATAAGTGATTTTTAAAAATATCTCGTGTGCATTTACTATACTAGACTACAGAAAGCATAAAATAATGTGAAAATGTGTATAAGATGCAATATGATATTTAAATGACGAATGGGTGAAGTAGCAAAAAAGATGGTTGTGCATAAATAATCTAAATTTGTAAGCCATTCAAGCTACAACATATGAAATAAACTTTGGGGGAAAAACAATAAACAAAAAAAGCTGAATAATGTGGCTAATAATAAACATTTTATATATAATAAATATATTCCAATCGAATTTACACAGTAGAATCTGTAAGCCCGTGAATTGATTCACTAGTTCTTCTATAACTGATAATATAGGATTCAAACAAAATTTTAAGTTATAAAAAAATAAGAATAGAAATGTATTAATTTTTTACTTAACCCTAAAAAATTTTTTAAAATGTATTAATCAAATTTATCAAAAGGAGCAAGCAAGCTTAGATAATATCTTTCCCCATTATCTTTAATATAATAAACAATAACATAATTAGGCTGTTTAAAAAATATAATACGTTATACCCGCTTTAAAATCCCATAGCTTAAGAAAAAGTCTACAGTGCAATTTTAAAAGTTAATAAGGATTTAAATGCGACTTACGCGGTACTTTCTTTAATATTTTTGAGGCCTTGGTTAATATCGTCTCTAATTTCTTGTATAGGCGATATACCGAGCTTGGTTTTAATTTCCTCGGCGTGCCTCAATTTGGCATTCAGGACAGATCTCAAAGTTTGAATCTCATCTTCGGTCTTTTAAAATTATTTTAGAAGGATAAACTAAAGCTAAACTTTTAGACTAGTTTTTGGTATTATTCACATTTTTTCATTTTGCGATAAATTTTTTTTAAGATTTATGAAAAAAAACTAAATCTATATAAAATATAGGAGATTTCCAAATAATATATTTTTTTTAATTAGCAGTCAAAAACTTGGCTTTGTTTTAAAAATCTTATTTTCAGTCTAAATTTAGTTTATAATTTTATGATCTATAATTAAATTTTTAAATTATTTTATATATCTGTTTTTATTCAAACTTCATCAATGTTTATAAGTGAAAATAAAAACAAAACTTTAAATCAATCATTATTTTTCTTAAAAAGAACTTGTCTGAAATTAATTAGTTTATTAAAATTTTTTTATAAATGGATATAATTTCGAGACTATCTTATTGTAATAATTAATATAAGAAATCTAAAACAGGTTAAATTCCTTAAATATAATGTAATATTATAAGTAAGGAATTATTTTCTGCATTGAGTATGTTCGTATTCATTTCTATTTCACGGATTCAAAAAGGCGCTAGCCAGATAAATAATCAAAATATAAAAAATATTTTCTATAAACGAAAAAGTCAGTGTTGTTATCCCGTACTTTTAAAAGTAGAGCGCTGCCGCTACCATTACTTATCAAAAAAAGTAGCACGCTATTTATTAGCTACCGTTTTAAAAAAGTAGTTTTTATAAAAAAAATTACAAATAAATTTGTTTTATCTTATGTTCATAATGTAATTATATATAAAAATAACATATATAAATATTTTAAAAAATATCTAAATATAATTATTGATAAGAGTTTATATAAAAAAATGATTAAAATTAATTATTTCTTGTCATTAATGTGTGCCGACAAAAAATCTTTGTACAAATCGTAATAAATAAATTATCAACCAATGATATTGGCTAAACAGTACATATTATGAAATTGACACTGACTTTATTAATCAGTTTCTGAGAAACATCTGAATGTATTACTAGCATTAATCAATTGGTTTGAATTGAATTCGTTTTTTGGGTGTCGTCACTTCTATACCAAAATTATTCTGATTTTACTATCTTCTTAAATTACTGGCAAAAAAATAAGTATGCTATTAGAATTTAAAAATAAATAAGGTATTTCTAAAATGATAACAGATTTATTAGAGGATATAATTTTAAATAGTTTAGTTTATAGCCAATTTGTTTTTCCATTAAGTTGAAAATATTTTTCCAATTTTGGAAAATAAAATTGATATTATTATTATCGAGACTATTATCTTCTTCCAGTGTAATTTGCTGCAATTATCTGAGTTTGACTCACTTATATTAATGTCCATTTACGTAGACATTTTAAATATTTTACACCAGTTGGTTTGAATTTATAATACAAATTTAGAAAATATAAATTTCAAAATTAAATAATAAAATATAAAAATTATTATTATTATTATGAATTATATATTATATATTATTTTTCGTGCTCATATTTATATTCATATATAATTTTTTTAAATCGAAGATGGTATGGAATTCAACATATATAAATATTTATATTTCATATTTTTTTATTGTATACCTGTAATCAGTACACCTAGCGAAATGATCGTTTGCATCGCTGGATTAATACTTCAATGTTAAAAGAAGCTCTTTACAAATAATATTTACACGAAAATTATAATTTAACCAATTGTTAACTAATTTATTTATATTTTGTTAAATTTATATACAAATTTGTTTTAATAAAAATCGATAGAATATATCTTGGAACTAAGAGTGCCCAAATGAATTATAAAAAATGTAATACAATAAATTATAAATGAGTTTATTTTTTTAAATATTGCAGCGGACGCAACCGCCAATTCATTAGGCGGCAGCTAATTCGACGAGGCGGTGAAAATTTAAAAAAGCCACCGCCGCCAAATAAGACTTAGACGTAAAGGTGTAAAATATCAATATAAATTTTTTTCGGAATTGAAAAATGTGGTGGTTGAGAGGAACGTAACTGACATAGAATTGGATACATGATAAATTATATGTCAACCAAAAAGGGTCAAATTATATATTTCTAAAATGATAATAGCTAGGAAGCTAAAATTTTGTCGTAGTCCAAATTTCATCAAAATAAACAGGGGTTGCGAAATTTTTTGATCAACCTAACCCCAGTGGTGAGATCAGGCCCATATTTGTTTATTTTATTGACGTGAAACGAAAGTGATCTCTATGGCATCTTCACAGCTTTCTCTAAGTTAACAGTTGATTTCACCTGAAAACCGTATCTAATATCAAATTCGCTTTAGGAAAAAATATGTTGCTCGGAGATAAAGCACCTCATTGACCAAAGGCCATAACCTTAATCCAATCCAGCTATTTTAAAAATATGATTTAAATTTGGATTATGATATTAAAAAATTGTCGCCTTGTTGCATATTAAACATAAAACTTTTTCATTGGCAAATTTATTTTAGAATAATGTATTTTAAAAAATGATACATTAGTTTGTTTTGTGATAAAAAAAACTAAAAATAATCGATTTTTTTCATAAATGAATTAATAAGAAAATGTGTTAGTTTGTTTTCGTTTAATAAAGAAAATGACTTTAAATTATTGTATTAGCAAAAAAATTAAATATTATAAACTTTATCATATGAAAAATGAAATATGAGTAATAATCATAAAAAATAAGGTCCAGAAAACCAAATATAATATTATGATATGAAAAGTGCAAGAGTTCTATGCGGACCGGATTAACCCGTAGTTAACAAATCTTATCACGCTGGACCATTTAATTGCCTCATTAAAATTTAAGAAAGTACCCTTTTTTCTTAGCCAACATCCATTTTTAGAATCAGGAGGGCCTTCGCATTATTGACTTAAGGGGGGATCTAGAGGGCGTTGCTAGCATGGACCGCAAATACAATAAGAGTAAACCGACAGAGCATCGACTTTAAATTTTGATATAGGTTTGGATTTAAAAAAAAACTTTTAAATGGTCCAGAGTTTGTAGAATAATATTATTTTTTATTTATTTATTATTAAATCAGGTAACAAAGATCTTGGATGCCATCATACCTCTAGGGCCTACACTTTAAAAAAAATTAATTGTGACAGGGCTTGGGCAGGAAAATGTTGCCATGATCACAGGACGCCGATTATCGATAGTTCCATTTTTTTAAAAAGTCCCATTTTAATATATAATAATATATTTAAAAAATTTTTTAAAAAACTTTGGCCAATTCTAATTGCCACTCCTTTTTCTGGGCGCTTGATTCATCGGAAATGGATGTGGTCGTATTAGGGTGGAAACTTGAATCAGAAGTGGGAGTCGTGTGATGATGAAAATCGCTGGGCTCTAGCAAGCCTTAAATAAATACATTAATTTAATTATTCGTAAAAAATGAAAGTGGAATGAATATATCAAAATACTTTAACGAAAATAGCTAAGTTTGGAGGGGGGATAAGTTTCTAAGATAATGACCAGATAAAAATAACTTGACTAAAACTTACGGAAAAAATATATTAATTTGGTAATGATCAGAAATCTAAGTATAAGAAAATAAAATTTTTTGAATTTGTTTGAGTTACTAGTTAGTTAATAATAAGAAATACTTTTGAAAAAAAGGCAAACCTCATCATTTCCTTATTATATTAGTATGAAATAAAAATAGGATATCATAAAACCCAATATTATAAAAAAAAATCAATATTCTTGAATTATAATATTACTACTCACTATTAATTATTAAAAGTCGTTTAAGAGAAGGAGAAATTTAATCATAAAGAAAGGTTTTTCTTTCATCTTTTAAAAAATTCATCAACCTTGAAGATGACATATTTAAATGTTATTTATTAAGAAAAGAAAATTACCGCCTTTGAATAGTTTATAACAAGGTAGACCTCACCTCATCATTATCAACAAATATTTATATTACTTATTGGAATCGATTGATAGTTGCACATTAAAATTAGATATTCCAAAAAAAGATAAGCCTAATTATATTAATTATTTTGGATCCCTATATATTAGATATCGTTCCAAAGGTTGGTTCCAACTAGTCATTATAAATAATAATACCCTTTATATTAAACTCAGGCGCGTAGCCAGAAATTTTCTACGGGGTGGGGGGCGATATTTTATAATGAAATGATTTTTCTTAGAGCATTAAAAATTTATTAGAAGAACTAATCAGAAAATGATAATTTCGAACACAAATAACAAAATATTAAGAGCGAATATAAAACGCTTAAAAAATATTATAGCTATATAAACTTTGGGCTGTGCCGATCCACATTTCACCGATCGATCCGATATTTATATTGGTTTTCTACCCCCCCCCCCTCCTTGAACCAAATGTAATTAAAAATCCATATTTTCATCAAATTATGGATTTAATTTTATTTTAATATTTTTATTTCTATAATATATTATAATAGATAAAAAATATATATTTAATAATGTATCCATTTTATTTTAAATAATATATATGTGTTGGTGTGAATTATAAAATTGTAATATTTAATATATATTTGATTTTTTAATAAATATGAGAGCCTCTAGATATTCTGATAATAAGCTTCTACGATGTGGACTATCTATCCTACCGTACTCAGATGGAACAATTGCTGCAGGAGGCGCCAAAAATTTACATGCAAGTTTTGACAAAGTTAGATTATTTTTAGCATTAATTTTCTAATAGTCAAGTAGATCCACAGGGGATCATAAAATTAGCATTTTTAAAATAGTGGGTTTCATACAAACCCTTGTTGGGTTTGAAAAATAATCAGACACCACCCAAACAAATAGGTAAATCATAACTCAACCAAGCAATACTAGATAGAAAATGAAAAATATGTTATTATACCCGTCTAGATATAAAGATTCTTTTAAATATTCCTTAATTTCTTTCAAGTATGACAGATGACAGGTCATCTACATTACTATCGATTTCATTTTATTTGTTAGTTTCTCCTTGATTTTCAATTTAAATAAATAAAACTTAGGGGATGTTGTGCATTTCCATTGTTTTAGAAATATTCAATTTTTATAAAAATAAATAAAAAATATTTTGAATATTATAATAAACTACATAACATAAAATTAAAAAAAGGAAAAAGATCAAATCGAATCGGGGTTTTTAGAGGTATGGGCCCGATCCGATATTTAATATCGGCACAGCCCTAATAAATGTTATGTAAATCACAATAAAATATATAATTAAACATTTTAAAATGATTTTTAAAGTTATTAAAAATATCATCCATAAATGAAAATGCGATTGAGCCAATTTTTCAATAATTTTCTGTATTGGGGATTAGATTTGGATGAGTAGAGCTAGTCTATTTAATCAATTTTAAGATGTCGTAATTTTGATATAGGTTTTTATTCTCTGTAATGAAGAAAAGGCCCTCTCATATGTGCTTGTACTAATTGGTATGTTTGCAAAAATATACAATAATTTTAAATTTAGAAAACTAAATATTATGTAATACTTCATCTGGATTTCTTGAAGGATTATCTACAAAAATGAATCTTTCATTCATTCCATTTAAACTTGGAGGATTATCTATAAAAATGAATCTTTCATTCATTCCATTTAAATCTGAAATTAATTGGCCTTCAGGTACATTTATATCCTAAGAATAAAATTTAGCTAAATATTTCATTTTTTAATATCAAGATTTGATCTATCCTCAGATCAGAGTTATAAGATATAGTATTTGTAAATTGGATAGAACCATTTGAAATCACAAATCGCTCATCGATTTGAGTCAAAATTAAATCCAAAAGTTGAATAAAAACGGTTATTTTATAATAATCCTTAATTGAGCCTATATTAATATTCGATTTATTTGTCGGTGAAAGAGGCTTATGAATCTCAAAATTATTGCATCTAAAACAATCACATATCTGGTCGATATTATCTTTAGTTTTCTAAGTTGTAATATAATAATATTCGCGATTCTCATCTTCAGCCAAATCCATTTTTTGAAAAAAATTGTTGTGTAATAAAAAATTTATATATATATATATTCCAATGAAAAAAATATGTAGTTATAATAAATCTATAATTTATCCGCTTCAGGTAAAATATCAATTTCAGGTGATTCTGATATTTCTCTAAGGGCATAATAAATATGCTCTTCTAGAACTAAAATGCTGTACCAGATTGAGATCGAAGGCTCCATCTTGTCGTGCAGCTTTTGAGCACAAAAAGTCTTAGAAATTATTATATTTAGCAAATTCTATTTATTCGGATATCGGAATATTTCATACAATCTACAAATTTTATCATAGTTAATTTATTTTGATTGAAAAAATTTTCACAAATCCATCATTGTCTATTTAAAAATATAAGAAAATAAACTTCAAATTTTCGTGAGATAAAATATTTGTATACAAGAAATATATTTTAAATTAATTTTAACTTTTTGCTAATATTTAGAATAGAATATAACCTAATTGAAATAGAATACTTGAAATTCACAATTCATATTTTCCCAAAATTGTTGGGGGGGGGGGGGGGAATTTCTCCCAGTTCCCGACCCACTGGCTTTGCGCCTGGTTAAACTTATTTATTTAAATAAGAGTATTGATATCGACGTTTCCACGTCAATTCGGCGCGTATCTATTACAGTTGCAATTTATTATAAATTACTTAGTATAAAAATATAAGGATGATTAAATAGAAGTCATTTTGAATGTTGGTATTATTAATTATTTCTACATATTTATTTTTACAAAAATCTCAATTTTATTTACTAAATGTATATCGAAAAAAATTAACTAATATTTATACCGTTTTCTTTAATGGACCATTTTACCACATTATAAGGTATGTTGATTAGTAGCCAATATTATGTAAGCCTGGAGATCTTGCGCATAGAAGGAAGAAAGAAAAAGAAAGATTTGACATAGGACCAACATTCAAAATGATTTCTATTTAATCATCCTTATTTTTTTATACTAAGTAATATATAACAAATTGCAACTGTAATAGATACGCGCAGAATTGACGCTGCGCTGAATTATCGCAGCGCCGAATTTTCCGCGCCGAATTGACGTGATACCGATATAGACCGATAATTTTAACTTTGCCAAGCTGATGTCTAAAAATAAAGAATAATTTTTTTATATTATATTATCTCATAGAAATAAACTCATACTTGTTTTATAATTTATTTTATGTTACTATTTAAATAATAAAAGATGGCTTGATAACGGTGGTGGACCGATGATATATATACTTTGAAAAAAGCAGATATAAATTAACTCGCATCTCAATGTTTAGCGGATTTCTTCCGGTATGAGTGTGTAGATTTAAGTCGAATTAGCTTATTTTTAGCTATAAATCAACCCCAACTATATAGTAAGAATTGAAAATTTTGTTCCGACCTTTTCAATTTTCGAAATTTTTTAGGCGCGTCATATGTGGTACTAGTTAAATTAAAAACTGAATTTTAGCTCGTAAATAATATAACATTTGAGATATTGGGGATCTAAGATAGAAAAATTGATCTTTTTTTCTTTACCTTTCTCGGTGTATATTTATAACTAAGTCGATAAGTAATTGAAATTAGGAAAAAAACAAAATGTCCATTTAAGTTTATAAAATTTTTAAAATAACTCGCTTCAATTTTTTTCCCTGTTGCTCGTTTACTATTTTTAAAATAATTTCTTTAATAATTGGTATGTCTGCTTAATTTTCTCAATGTATAAATATGTACGCTTTATATGAACGATTTAAAAAAAACAAAAGGCTTTTTTTATTGTTTAAAACCATTTTAAAGCAATATATATCTTATAAAAAATACCTGAAAATTGGTTTTTATAAATAAATATGAATCTTTAATTGCATTATATAACGCCATTAATTTTATATATTTGGGTCAATCCCTGACAAGTAGATTATGATTCGGGCCCCTTTTAAAATTGTTAAAATTTCAGGAATTATTTAGAGCAAAAAAATAAGAAAGCCGTTTATTTAGCTTCACGGTTCCCGAGATACAAGGACTCAAAATTGCAAAAAATAGCCACCAATAAATCTGTAAAATATTTTCATTATATCTCAAAAACTATTTATAGTAAAAATGAATTATCATAATGTAGGGGAAAAAAATCTTTAAAGGTATATCGAAAGAGAAAAATAAATTTGGTGTCAATTTGAGTCTTATCCGATTTATCCATAATGCCTTACCCGTGTTTCTAGGCAATAAGGGCTGGTTTTCTAAAAAAAATTACCTTTTATTTAGACACCTTTTATAAATATATATACGATGTGAAAATCTTGACACATCGGCTAGTGTTGCTAAACGACTAGATTTAAATCGATTTTAAAAACGGTTAACTCAATGTTTTATTCA